GGGCGGGGCCGCCTCTGGCAGCGGCGGGGCCGGGAACCCTGTGCCGTCAACGGCAGGGCGCGTCGACGCGAGCGCCCCGCAGCCGGCACCCGTCTTGGCGGGCCCGCCTGCTGCAGAGGGCGGCCGCGCCGCTATGCCGAGCGCGCACCCTGTGCGGTCGGCGGCGGCGGGCGGCTCCTCAGGCTTTGAGCATCTGCGCGCGGACGCCTCCCCGGCGCCGCGGGCGCCCGCTCCCGGCAGCGGGCGCAAGCCGCAGCAGCAGCTGCGCAAGGGCGGCCTTTCGATGTTCCTGAGCGGGGCGCTAGAGAAGCCGCCTCTCACGCCGCAGCCGCAGCCCGCGGCCGTGCCCCAGGCGGCGGCGGCGGCGGCGCGCGGCCCTGCCTGGGGCGGCGCGGCGGCCGCAGCGCAGCAGCCGGCGGGGGCGGCCTCCCTTCGCTCCTTGTTGGGTGAGCAAGAACGACCCCAGCAGCAGCACACGCCAGTCGCACAGCAGCAGCTGCCGCCCGCCGGCCAAGCGCACCCGGACAGGTCTCTCACAGGCAACAGCCCAGGGACGGCCGGCGCTGGCACGGCAGGCCACGGCCTGGCTGGGGGCTCCCCCGTGCGCCCCTCGCCGGTGGGCCGTGCTGTGAGCGGCGGCGGCGGCGGTGCTGGTGGCAGCAGCGGCGGCGGCAGTGGCAGCGCCCAGAAGAGGCAGTCGCTTGTGAAGGGGGACCTTTCGAGCTTCCTTTCCGGGGCGTTGCAGCAGCAGGCGGCAGCCGTGCAGGCGCCGCTGGCGGAGGCAGCCGCCGCGGCGGGCGAGCCGGCCGCCGCGGCAAGCAAAGGGCCCGCCTGGGGCGGAGCGGCGGCGGCTGCGCTGCAGCAACAGCAGCAATCCGCGGCTGGGGGCTCCCTGCGGGAGCTCCTCCAACAGCAGCAGCAGCAGCAGCAGCAGCAGCAGCAGCAGCAGCAGCAGCAGCAGCAGCAGCAGCAGCAGCCCCCCCGCGCCGCCCTAAGCAGCGGCGGCGCCGCCCCGTCAGATCGCCCCCCGCGCGGCACGCAGCCCGCCCCCACCCCTAGCCCTAGCCCCAGCCTTGGCAGTGCCCGGTGGGCGGCCGCTGCACAGGGGCAGGCGCAGGCCCAGACGGACCCCACGCCAGCTCTAGGCTCCTCTCCGGCCAGCGCGTTGGCGCCGTCCCCTCTGCAGCAGATGCTGCGGGCCGGCAGCCTCAGCCGCGCGATAGGGACGCCTCCGCCGCCGCTGGGCAGCAGCCCGGGCAGCTTCCGGGGCGGCAGCTTCCTCGGGGGGCGCAGCCCGCCCTCGACTCAGAGCAAATGGTACATAGCGGACGAGCTCCAGACGCAGATCAGGTCTCTGGCTGACATCCAATCAGAAGAGGTAGCCTTAAGCTTGCTGCGCGAGGAGGAGGTGGCCGCGGCGGCGGCAGCAGCAGCGGAGGCCGCCGCCGCGGCGGCGGCGCGGCGGGAGGCGCGGCAGCGGCGGGGCGAGCGGCGG